CTTTGCACTATTGATTATTTACAGTGGATGGTCCCTTGGGGAGTACGTAGTTTGTGGGGATGGCATTACTAGCGGTCCTGGTGCCTTGAGAATTGGGAGCAGTGCTTTGGGCTCCACTGCCAACTCCTGCTTCCTAGTTCCTCTTACTGGGAGGTTGCCATTGCTCCAATCCCATCCCTTCTTTCTCTGGACTGGCAGGATACCCTCCAGTTGGTTCTTGCCTTTCTCTGTTCTCTAAATTCTTCCTCACTAAGTGAGAGAGGATTCTTGTCCTGCTTCCTTCATCCCACCCCCCCATCACCTTGGGGATAATTCTCTTCTTTCCTGTCCCCATGTGCTCTCAGGGAGGATTCAGGTCTCTGCAGGTAATACCCCTTTGCTAATCCTGGACTCTCCTGGTCTCACCCTTATCATCTACCCTAGTCAAGGACTAGACACAGGGACTGGGGGTCCTCAGGGTGGGGATTTGTTTGCGATCCAGGTCCTCAGTCTGAAGCTGACCAATGCATGTTAGGGGTAAATCTTGCAGAATGCGTACCTGGGAACTGGGAGACTGTTGCATGTTAGTGGTTAGCTTCTCAGTACCTTAGGATGGAGTAATGCATGCTGGGGAGTATGTTGCTGAAAGAGGCTTTACTCAGGCATGATGCGTCTGAATGTTAGGAAATCTCTGCAGAGGGATAGCCTGGTGGAGGTGATGTGAGTATGCATGGCAGGGAGGGAGTAAATATAGAGTGCGAAGTGTGTACCTGAATTTGGAGGGCACATGTGAGTACAAGAGACCACTTAACCATCAGTTGGTCAAGTGGGTCTTGGAAGTGTTGGTCCCCATGCTCCGAAGCCCCTGGTACTTCTCTCCAGACTACAGATGTACTGCAATGGCCAGTTTGCTGTCCACTTTCTCCCCTTCCCAATGCCAACTGCCTTCCTCCCTCCTGACAGCACTTCTACCCTAGCCGGGCCCAGCCCCCGAGCAGTGCAGCCTCCCGAGTGCAGAGTGCAGCCCCTGCCCGCCCTGGCCCTGCTGCCCATGTCTACCCTGCTGGATCCCAAGTAATGATGATCCCTTCCCAGATCTCCTACCCAGCCTCCCAGGGGGCCTACTACATCCCTGGACAGGTGAGGCTGGAAGCTACAGAACCTTGTATCCCTACCCTTACCTCCCCTACCCTGACCCTCTAGTCCCATCTCTTCTTGAGAGGTGGGACTTCTTTCTGGTCATTACCCAGAGTTGGCTTGTCTTGTCTTGCCTTACGTTCTCTTTGTAGTCTGTGGTATTCATAGCTCCCTCAACTCCTTTCCCCTCCTTCTCCCCCTTCCCCTCCACCAGGGACGTTCTACATATGTTGTCCCAACACAGCAGTATCCTGTGCAGCCGGGAGCCCCAAGCTTCTATCCAGGTGCAAGCCCTACAGAGTTTGGGACCTACGGTAAGCAGGGGAGGGAGTCAGGTGAGAGTGTGCCCCAGGGAGCGTTTAAACTTGCTTACTAATTCCTAAGACCTTTCCCAGGCTTGTCTCTTGGTCTAAAAATGATAGAGTTAAGAGATAGTAGGGATTGGTGCTTAATATGTAATTGGTACTGGGGGGTTGGTGGGAAGGGGATTTTATACCATTGCTGAGAGTTGGAGTCCTCCCCGTGTCAAGGGATATAGATTAGGCATCAGTTTGAGGGCCTGTTAATAAATATTTCCTGTGACTCTCATTCCATGGTTGGGGGGAACCGATGTAACATGGATTTGGGAGGTTTTTGTAGCTGTTTTTCATTTATGTTCTAGGAAAGGATTAGTCTGTTCTTTATGGCAGTGGTTTCCAAAATTTTTTGATCATCAGGAAAAATTTTGAGTATGTACCTGTAATACATGTATGCTTTTGTTTGTTTATATGTATGCACAATTTAAACAAATAACACTCATGTTGCTTGTCAAAAACAAACAAGTAGAGATTATGGATGAGATTAAAGAATGTATCCCATTTTGGAGACCATTGCTTTAAGGAAGTTTTCCTCATCCTGGGCCCGGTTCATAATGTTACTTTTTGTTTCCTTGCCCCTTTAGCAAAGGGCTGGAGACTGGAACTGGACTCAGGTTGAATGGAACAGGGTTGGCAAATCTGTTTTTATCATTCCCAGCCAAAGACCTGATTCTGTTTCAGGTTAAGTAGTTGCTCTCTCAGAGTATTTGTGTATGTGTTGCTGGGGGTGGGGTGCAAACACCGTACCTTATGGGGTAGAAGAAGAACAGACGTAGTCCTGGTAGCTAGTGTGTGGTGGGGAAGGAGTGCCTGCCTACAAGGGGTGTGTGTGTGTCAGTGTCAGGAATTCTTGTAAACGCAGTTCAGACTGGTTCCCCAGCTTTGATAGACACCTAGTTCCCTTGGGGAGGGAGGTGGGGCAGGGCACAGGGCCGCCTGTGGGTGATGAGAGGTTCTTGGGTGGTGGGTGGGGTTCAAATAGGCATTTGTATGTGGTTGGGCCCTGACACTGCCACTGTTCTTCCTTTCTGTGTCCCCCCCTCTTCTCCCCTCAAGCTGGGGCCTACTACCCAGCCCAGGGTGTGCAGCAGTTTCCCACTGGTGTGGCCCCCGCCCCGGTTTTGATGAGCCAGCCACCCCAGATTGCTCCCAAGAGGGAGCGGAAGACGGTGAGTAGCAGAAAGGGGCTCTAGGATATCTTGGAAAGGGAGAATCAAGGTCAAGCACATTGTGGGTCAGGGAGCAGGAAGTTGAGGGAGATCTTCAGGTGAGAGTAGGCAGAGAATGGGGATCTGTGAAGTGCTCAGATTCTTTAAGGTAACTAAGATTCCAGTGTAGGAGCAGCTCACGGGAAGATTGAGGTAGCTGGTGGGGAAATTCCTGAGAGACCTTGGTTCTGGGGTCTGAAAGATCTAAGTTTGGTTTTGGGTTTCTGGTGGCTAGCCTTGGAAATGGTTTGTTTTCTGCGGCCCCACCCCCCCATCCCCCCCCAATCCTGGAAGCTCTTGAGGCCTCCGCCTCTGCTCAATCCTCAAGCCCTGGGCGTGGTGCCCAGAATAGGGTGCCAGGGCTGGGGAAGCCGCTGAGTCACCCTGGCTCCACCCTCTGGATCTGGGCCCTGCCCCCAGAGATCAGGCAGACAAGCCACAAGTAAGCTGGATGGGTGCTAGAAGGGGGTCCTTGTCCCCAGGGTGTGCAGCCACTGCCTCGGGGACTGCTGGTGGGGCAGGGTTAGGGGAGGGAGGGGCATTGTGATGCCCGTGGCTGCTCTGTGAGGTCAGGGGTGTCTTAGGGATGGGGGCCAGGGCAGGGACTACAAGAGCAGCTGGATGGGTTGACAGTAGAACTCATGGGGTTTCTTGCACTCACCCACCTGCTTCCCGGTGGAAGGTTGAGGGGTTGGCCTGGAGTCTTAGGAGTGGGGCAGGGTGGAGAGATGGGCTCCTCCTGCTTCCCACTCATCCCATAGCTTTCTTTTCCCAGATCCGAATTCGAGATCCAAATCAAGGAGGGAAGGATATCACAGAGGAGATCATGTCTGGGGCTCGTACCGCCTCCACACCCACTCCTCCCCAGGTACTGTCTGTTCTTTGAGTGATGCCCTGGCTGGGATGGCTTTTCTGTCCTAGACTCCCCAGGTTCCTTGATCTTTTCTTCAACTGAGGGATTTATTTCCCTGCTTTCCTGGATTTCTAGGCAGAGCTAAAGTAGAAATGACTCTAGTAAAGAAGGGTTGTGGGACTCTTCAGGGCAAACTTGGTAACCCTTTGTGTCCTGCAGACGGGAGGCGGTCTGGAGCCTCAGGCTAATGGGGAGACACCCCAGGTTGCTGTCATTGTCCGGCCAGGTAAGTAAGCAGATGGGGCAGAGCTTTTAATGGGGAAAGGGGTGAAACAATTTAGAATGCCAAGGAAGTGGAGCAACTTGAACCGGGTGCCAGAGAAGGCTGACTTAGGTTTTGGGTAGTGGGATTTTTGAGTGAGGGTGGATTGGATTTTAGATGAGAATGGAAAAGACCTAGGTGGGAGAAGATTATGGCAGAGCGGGAGGTGTTAGGCTGGGAATGCTTTGACTGGGAGGAGGAACAACAGCAGTGAAAGACTTGCCTTTAATTACTCGTTCTTCCCGTGGTGCAGATGACCGGTCGCAGGGAGCAATCATTGGGGACCGGCCAGGGCTGCCTGGCCCAGAGCACAGCCCTTCAGAATCCCAGCCTTCATCACCTTCTCCGACCCCATCACCACCCCCAATCTTGGAACCGGGGTCTGAGCCTAATGTTGCAGTCCTGGGGTCTATTCCTGGGGACACTATGACAACGGGGATGATACAGATGTCTGTAGAAGAATCAACAACCCCCATGCCCTGTGAACCTGGGGAGCCATACTGCCTCTCTCCAGAACCTGCTCCCCTTGCTGAACCCATACTGGAAGTAGAAGTGACGCTTAGCAAACAAGTTTCAGAATCTGAGTTCCCTTCCAGTCCTCTCCAGGTTGCCACCCCCCTGGCATCTCACAAGGTGGAAATTCTTCCTGAGCCTAATGGCACGGTCCCATCTGAAGATTTGGAACCAGAGGTGGAGTCAAGCCCGGAGCTTGCCCCTCTCCCTCCCTCGGTTTGTCCTTCTGAATCCCCCATGCCTGTTGCTCCAACTGCCCAACCTGAGGAACTGCTCAATGGAGCCCCCTCACCACCAGCTGTGGACTTAAGCCCGGTCAGTGAGCCAGAGGAGCAGACCAAGGAGGTTACAGCATCAGTGGCTCCCCCTACTGTCCTAGCTGCCACTCCAGTTGTGGCTCCCTCAGCTGCTTCCCCTGCTCAGGAGGAGGATGTGGAGGAAGAGGAAGAAGAGGAAGAAGAAGGAGAAGCAGGAGAACCTGAGAGTGAGAAGGGTGGAGAGGAACCACTCCCCCCGGAGAGCACCCCTCTCCCAGCTCACCAGTCCCAGAATTTGGAGGCAGCAGCAGCCACCAAAGGTAAGGTGTGGCTGGATGGTTGAGGTGGGGCAGGTTGGAGGGTGGGGTTCTTGTTCTTCATTGGTGATCTCCCATTTGTGCCTTTGTGTCTGGGTCAGAGAAGCCCTGTAATGGAACCTAAGGGCTTTTAAGTAATTTAAATTAAAGGATTTTAAATCTAGAGACTTAAAAAGGAATTACTGTACAGTGGCTACTTTTTATTTTCCTAGGGGTTAGGGGTATTCCTTAAATTCTTCCCACTCTTTTTTTTAATCCCCTAAATAGTGGCAGTATCTGTGCCAAAGAGGAGACGGAAGATTAAGGAGCTCAATAAGAAGGAGACTGTAGGAGACCTTCTGGATGCTTTCAAGGAGGTAAGGGAGCAGAAAGTAGCAGAGGGAGAAGGGCAAGGTTTGAGTATGGAAGTGGTCACACTGCAACCAAAACAGAATGTCCAATGGTTACAGGTGAACCCAGGAGTACCAGAAGTGGAAAATCAGCCTCCTGTAGGCAGTAATTCCAGCCCAGAGCCTGAGGGCACCAGTGTGCCCCCACGGCCTGAGGAGGCAGATGAGACCTGGGACTCAAAGGAAGACAAGATTCAAAATGCTGAGAACATTCAGCCCGGGGAACAGAAGTATGAATATAAGTCAGGTATGCTGTAGGAGGGGTTGAGAAGGGCTAGGTGTTCTTGTCAGGGCCTCAGGAGAGAACAGTGTGATTGCTTCATCCTGTTTTCCTTGCAGATCAGTGGAAGCCTCTAAACCTTGAGGAGAAAAAGCGTTACGACCGTGAGTTCCTGCTTGGCTTTCAGTTCATATTTGCCAGTATGCAGAAGCCAGAGGGATTGCCCCATATCAGTGACGTGGTGTTGGATAAGGTTGGTAGGCTTGAGGGAAAGGGAGAGTTTGGGCTGGTTGGCTGGCTTGAGGAGGAGCCCGAGGTCCTGAAAGAGTGGTCAGTAGCCCTAGCCTGTTTCTGATAACCTTCCCTATCCTTTTCACAGGCCAATAAGACACCATTGCGGTCACTGGATCCTACTAGACTTCAAGGCATAAATTGTGGCCCAGACTTCACTCCGTCCTTTGCCAACCTTGGCCGACCAGCCCTTAGCAGCCGTGGGCCCCCAAGGGGTGGGCCAGGTGGGGAGCTGCCCCGAGGGCCGGTGAGTGGGACTGGCAAGGGGAGTGGGGGTGGTGACTCCCTGTATGTCATTATGGGGTGGGGAGAAGCCTGCCTTGGAGTGTGTGGTAGTGGTGTCACAGGTTGTGCTAACTAGTTCTGTGTCTTCTCCCCATCTCTTGCTTAGCAGACTGGTCTGGGACCCCGGCGCTCTCAGCAGGGGCCCCGAAAGGAACCACGCAAGATTATTGCCACAGTGTCAATGACTGAAGATATAAAGCTGAACAAAGCTGAGAAGGCCTGGAAACCCAGCAGCAAGCGGACGGCAGCCGATAAGGACCGAGGGGAAGAGGATGCTGATGGTAGCAAAACCCAGGTACCTGCAAGTTGTGCTTTGGTCTCCATGTCTTCCCAAGGTCTGCCCTCTGAGCCAGCCTTACCTTCTTTGCCTCTGTCCATTCTCATCACTAGTTTCTATCTAAGTCCCCACCAACCTCTCCATCCCTCCCAGTGGCCCCTGTTCTTCTGAGAACTTCACTGGATCCTATGTCTTCTCTGTCCCCTCTCCTCCCAGGACCTGTTCCGCAGGGTGCGCTCCATCTTGAATAAGCTGACACCCCAGATGTTCCAGCAGCTGATGAAGCAAGTGACGCAGCTGGCCATTGACACTGAGGAACGCCTCAAAGGGGTCATTGACCTTATCTTCGAGAAGGCCATTTCAGAGCCCAACTTCTCTGTGGCCTATGCCAACATGTGCCGCTGCCTCATGGCGGTTAGTTTCCACTGTTTTTTAAGTGGTCTAGCTTCTCATTTCTCTTCCTAAGACTCTGAGTCCAGCTTCTTGGTTCTCCTCCAGCCTGTGCTGTTGGTGGCAGCCAGAAGGAGGCAGAGCCAGGGCCAGAGGTCTTCCTGGGTCAGGTAGTTGGAGACTCTTGGAGGGTTCTCTCTGCCCTGGACTGGTCTGAGTGTGACATTCTCTTTGACATACAGCTGAAAGTGCCCACTACAGAAAAGCCAACAGTGACTGTGAACTTCCGGAAACTGTTGTTGAATCGATGTCAGAAGGAGTTTGAAAAGGACAAAGATGATGATGAGGTTTTTGAGAAGAAGCAAAAAGAGATGGATGAAGCTGCTACGGTGAGAGAAAATCCCCCAATTCCACTGCCCACCCAGATGTTACTCAGCTGCAGAAGTTGGGGTGGGGTTAGTGGTGTTTGAGGGGTTTCTCTGCCTTAGGACATGAGTTCTTGCTGCTAGGTTTAGAAATCTAGCTAGTGGAGGAGAGAACGGTTTTAGCCAAGCGGCTGGGTTTCTTTTTGATGTGATCCCTGTCCCATGACCGGCAGGCAGAGGAACGGGGACGCCTGAAGGAAGAGCTAGAAGAGGCTCGAGACATTGCCCGGCGGCGTTCTTTAGGGAACATAAAGTTCATTGGGGAGTTGTTCAAACTGAAGATGTTAACGGAGGCGATAATGCACGACTGTGTGGTTAAACTACTTAAGAACCATGATGAAGAGTCCCTCGAATGCCTTTGCCGTCTGCTCACCACCATTGGCAAAGACCTGGACTTTGAAAAGGCCAAGGTAGGGGTCCTGGGATATGGGAGAGGGATATGGGAGAGCACATGTGGTATGCTGTCCACTGACAAGCACCCTCTGCAGCTGTTGTGTGTAGGTCACTGAGGCACAGTGGTGGAGCTGAGGCCTGTGGAGGGGCAGGGCCTATAGCTGAGAGGTGAGGTCTTAGAAGTTCCTGACCTGATCCCTTTGCTTTTTGCTAGCCCCGAATGGATCAGTATTTCAACCAGATGGAAAAAATCATTAAGGAAAAGAAGACTTCATCCCGGATCCGCTTTATGCTGCAAGATGTACTGGATCTGCGACGGGTATGCGTCCTCTCGTTTGCACTGTTTGTCTGCTGCCTCTGACCCCATAGCCACCAGATCCTGACACTGTTTGGCCCTCTCTGATGTAATTATCTTGTGACTGGCCTGTCCCCACAGAGCAATTGGGTGCCACGCCGAGGGGACCAGGGTCCCAAGACAATTGACCAGATCCACAAGGAGGCTGAGATGGAGGAGCATCGGGAGCACATAAAAGTGCAGCAGCTAATGGCCAAGGGCAGCGACAAGCGTCGGGGTGGCCCTCCAGGCCCACCCATCAGTGAGTTTGAGGCTGGGACTGAGGATGGACAGTGTGAGGGGTTATGCTTTCCATTGATGACTTCTTGTTAGTGCCACGTGTCTGGGCCACTGAGACCCCATGATGGAACTGAGGATCTGAGGAAAGGAGACTGAGGGCAGCCCAGGGGAACAGGGTTGCTGGGACTTACTCATTATTCCAATGTGCTTTCCTTTTTGTCCCAGGCCGTGGCCTTCCACTTGTCGATGATGGTGGCTGGAACACAGTCCCCATCAGCAAGGGCAGCCGCCCTATTGACACCTCACGACTTACCAAGATCACAAAGGTAGGGGTGTGTGCATTGGAGAGGGTGATAGGAGAATAAAGGGGTCATACAGGCCTTAAGCACAGGTTTGGATCTTAGTCTCCTCACTTTCTGAGGTTGGGAAGATGATAGCTGAATTTTCTCCCTTAAGACAAACTGGTTAGATTTCTAGACAGGACTGCCAACTCTAGGGGGATGTATTTGCATTGGTCTGGACCGGTGGTCAGACACTGACATGCAAACCAAATCCAGTCATTCCTTGCTTCTGTACAGCCCACAAGCTAAGGATGAAAGTTTCTGCATTTTTTAATGTTTGAACAAGATCAAAAAGTGAATGATACTGACAAATTATATAAAATTTTAATTTCAGTGTCTATAATTTTATGGAAATATAACCCCACTAATTCCTCTAAGTATTGTCTGTGATTGCTTTTGTGCTGCAGTGGCAGAGTTGAGTAGTTGAAACTGTGTGGCCTGCAAAGCTTAAAATATCTAGCCCTTTACAGGAAAAGCATGCCAGGCCCCCAGTTTAGGCCACTTGCAGCTGTGTGTGGTGGGGGATGGCTGGGGCTTTGGCTAGGTCAGACCCATGACTCTCCTCCGCTCCCTTTCCTTCCTCAGCCTGGCTCCATTGATTCTAACAACCAGCTTTTTGCACCTGGAGGGCGATTGAGCTGGGGCAAGGGCAGCAGTGGAGGCTCAGGAGCCAAGCCCTCTGATGCAGGTATGGAGGCCACTGTAAGGAGCTGAGTGGTTATTAATCAGTGCTCTTGAGGGCAGAGCCTTGTCTGTACAGAAGGCTCTCAGTATAGAATAGTTAGATAATATTGGCAGTGTGTACTTGGTACTAGGGAGTGAGCAACTTTAGTGTCAGGACTGGGACCAAGTGTCCTAAACTGGCCAGTAGGAGATAGAATGTAAGAAAATAGAGACTTTATTTGGGTTTTCTGCCTCCCCAGCATCAGAAGCTGCTCGTCCAGCTACTAGTACCTTGAATCGCTTCTCAGCCCTTCAACAAGCAGTTCCTACAGAAAGCACAGATAACAGACGTGTGGTACAGAGGTAAGGTTTCCTTGGTGTCTTTGTTCCTCACACTGAGAATACTGAGTGGGTTTTGGCTGTTGCCATAGGAATTCTCACACCTGTAATGCTCAGAGCTGGCTGAGACTGGGGCATATTCCTGATGCCAAGGACAAGGCCTGACAATTGCTCAGCATGTCGGATAGTTGACTGAGAGGGTACCTGGGCAGTTCAGGTGAGAGATAATGTGCCTGTCTTTTTTCCAGGAGTAGCTTAAGCCGAGAACGAGGTGAGAAAGCTGGGGACCGAGGAGACCGCCTAGAGCGGAGTGAACGGGGAGGTGACCGTGGGGACCGGCTTGATCGTGCACGGACACCTGCCACCAAGCGGAGCTTCAGCAAGGAAGTGGAGGAGCGGAGTAGAGAGCGGCCCTCCCAGCCTGAGGGACTGCGCAAGGCAGCAAGCCTTACGGAGGATCGGGACCGTGGGCGGGATGCTGGTAAGGGTCTGGGACGGGGAGGGTGGGGAAGGGTATGGGCTGGTTTGGGATTAGCCAGTCCCCAGAC